AGTGGGTAGTTCCTGCACTGTCCTGCCATTATATTTAGTGCTGTTTAGCACCAGATGTTATTCAAAGCATGAGATTGTTGAGGTTGGGGGTGCAAGAACATGAAACACCACTATTTACCCAGCTAACTATTAGTATATTAGCTGCATTAATATAACCTGCCATGCTTTGTTTTTGTACAAAACCAATAGCTGAATGCATACTATCCTAGCAATAAGTTAACTAGTCAGAATATCTACTGTAACATCATACTGCAAGATCAGGTAGAGGTTTAACACATACCACTTACTGTTGTCTTGTGCTTCTTCATTCATAGGGATCAAGGGGACCTGCTGGACCTCCTGGATCAGCTGGAAAGCGAGGACTAATAGTGAGACCTCAACTTTTCTTGCACTGTATGGATGACATGTACCACCTAATTTTCCCAGAACAACGGCTGTACCTCTCATTACTACCCATCTGATGAACTGTTGAAGAAATGCCTGTAAAATACATCATGGTTTTTGTTTGTTTGACCTCCAGGGCCCACAGGGACCAAGAGGAGACAAGGGTGAGCTTGGAGAACATGGAGAAAGAGGACAGAAAGGTCACAGAGGGTTCACTGGGCTGCAAGGGCTCCCTGGACCACCAGTGAGTAAAGATGATACAGAACAATACTTTCTAATTTGAAGAGAACACATAGACACTGGAGAGTGATCAGAGCATACGGGACGTCTAGCTGCTTTATTCAGTAGCTCTTTGCTTTCAGGGCACCCCTGGTGAACAAGGATCTACCGGAATCATTGGGCCAAGTGGCCAGAGAGTAAGTTCATTATACAAGGGCCTTGGGCAGAAACAAAATCTCCATATACATACAAATCCATGTTGGCAAAGTGTTCTAAATATGAATTTTAATGCTAGGGCCCTCCTGGACCTGTGGGCCCCCCAGGAAAGGAGGGCTATGTTGGACAGCTGGGACCCATGGGACCTCCTGGGACACGTGGCTTCAGTGGTGATATTGGACCTGAGGTGAGCAAAAGGCACATATATAATAAAAGGCCGCCACCTAGATGGAATATGGTCTAGGTAATATTTTACTTATTCATGTCATTTCTTCTTTATTTTTTTATCAGGGACCTCCTGGAGATCCTGGTCCCCCCGGCCCCCCCGGCCCCCCTGGACCCCCAACAGCAGCAATGGATGACTTGTTTGGTGGCCCCCAGGATTATGATGCTGGACCCCCACCCCCTCCTGAGTTTAGTGAGGATGAGGCTCTGCCCAACAACAACTCATCGGGGCTCCTCCAGGTGGACCCTGGGGTCCAGGCCACCCTGAAGGCCCTGAGCAGCCAGATTGACAGTATGCGCAGCCCCGATGGCAGCAAGCAGCATCCTACCAGGACCTGCCAGGACCTGAAACAATGCTACCCACTGAAAAACAGCGGTGCGTTATGGCTGCAGTATCAGGAGGGGCCCTGCCACCTTCCAGTTGCATCCCTCAACTCATGAGCCGATATAGTGTAATCATAGGTCAATGTGCCCTTTGGTGCTGTGTTGCAGGGGAATACTGGATTGATCCAAATCAAGGCAGTGCACGTGATGCCATCAAAGTACACTGTAACATGGAGACTGGAGAGACGTGCATTTCTGCAAACCCACCCAATATCCCCCGGAAAACATGGTGGACCTCCAGCTCAACAGTGCTCAAGCCCATATGGTTTGGGGCCAACCTGAATGGTGGAGCCCATGTAAGCTTTAATACAAATCACTGGAGTTTTATTGAATTATTTGTGTGTGAACAGGATGTTGTCTTATTTATATACTTTTACATTTTCTGATGTTGAATTTCTTTTAACTAAGTGAGTAATTTATAGTTAATGTAAAATTTCTGTATTTAACAGTTCACCTATGGAAACAAAGAGCAGGATCTAAACTCTGTCACTGTTCAGATGACATTCATCCGCTTGCTATCAAAAGAGGCCTCTCAGAGCATCACTTACCACTGCAAGAACACCGTGGCCTATAATGACAAGAAGAATGGAAACTTGAAGAAAGCCATAGTTTTCAAGGCCGCCAATGACCTTGAGCTGAAGGCAGAAGGAAACAGCCGCTTCCGTTACACAGTCTTGGAGGATGGCTGCTCTGTGAGTCAAGTTTGGTGGAAACCAGCACAGCCCATGACCCATGACCTTGCATGTGTTCAACCTTGTACACTGCTTGATGCTGAGAAGCTGCCCAACTCTCCCTGACCTTATAACCCACCAACCCCACACATACTACCCAACTCTCCATGATGTTATTTCCCCCAGCCTCACACATACTACCCAATTCTCCATTACCTTATAAACCTCCAGCCTTATATGTACAACCCAGCTCACCATGGCCTTATAACCACCCAGCCTCACACATACTATCCAACTCTTCATGGCCTTATAAGCATCACAAATATGACCCAACTCTCTAAGATCTTATAACCATTTAGCCTCAGACATAGTCTCCTTTACTTTCTGCTATTTTCCATCAAATGCTCTAGTAATTTTCTAGTATAATAGGGACAATATCTGTCCCTTTATTTCACAGATGCAAAGAGATGTTTGACAATGATGACTATATCATTAAGCATTACTCAGAAACCTGATGCCCCAAACCCCATTTCTAAGGCCCCTCCAGCGGGCAGCTATACTTAATGTAAATGGATTTGGCTTTTAGGTCAGGTTATAATATTATAATTGCAATTATTGCAGTAGGGGGAGCTATTTCACCTGAACATTAGAGCTATACAGGCAGTGTACTGTTACAGATTTCATTTTCCTTTTTACAGGAGGCGAGCAGCAGATGGGGGAAGACTGTATTTGAGTACAGGACTCAGAAAACAGCAAGGCTACCAATCATAGATATGGCTCCCGTTGACATCGGCAGCACAGACCAGGAGTTTGGCCTAGACATCGGACCTGTGTGCTTTGTGTAAGTGTGAGCCGGAGGACGCCAGGCAAATCCGTGGACTCCTGAAGTGCAGTCGTGTTGCACAATGGACAGACCAGCTCTTTACTGTGCTATCCACAACCTCACCAGAACATTCCGTGTTTTTATTATGGCACGGTAGGCAGGATCATAAAGGGGGAAAAAAACTATGCATAACTTGAAGATCATACTGGGAAACTGCCAAAGCGTGATTTCCTGCTATTCAGAATGAAAAGCTTTGTAATTGCAATACAGATTTGACCACATCAGATAAAAAAAATGTCACCCATACTGGCTGTTTTTTTAAGACTTTTTAATTTGAGACAAATGTCACACTGACAAAAATAACTGATACTCAAATAAATGATCCAAATTATTTTAACTGCTGTTTTAATAGCATAAATTACAGGTAACAGTTTGGCTTCTCTAAAAGCCAATTATCCTATACCTAAACATACTTGTTTTGTACAGACTTTTATATGCTGTTAGTTTTAAACACCAAGCCAGCAATTTTGTTTTAGTTTAGTTATTTCTATTTAATGGTGCTACAGAGGAAATGGTGGCATTCTCAAGTGGAGCAGAGGGTGGCGTTTTACTGAAAGGCAGCATTTCTTTTTGAAATACGGTGCCATTTTATGCAATCCTGCCTTTTGGAAGTGACAGAACAGGCCGCTGCTTGGTTGGTTCCTTGATGTAAGCTACCTCGTCTCCTGTAACTGACTTTCTGTCACACTGCATTTGCGTGGCAATCACAGTGTGCAGCTTTAACAGCAGCGTAGGCTTTCATGATGGCAATGAAGGGCTCCACATCATCAAACAGCCCCTGACCCCAGCAGCATGCACCGTTGCATGCATCGCAGCCCCACTTCTCTTCCAATGCTCAATTTTAATGCAACATTCTGAGCAGTTTTTAGTTTTGGCCCAAAATGCTTTGCCAGTGTCCTTTGTGTACTTTTCTACAGAATGAATTAAACAACTGCTTTTTATCCATATTGCTCTTTTTGTGAAATTAATCTGATTATATCAACACCAAATCAAACCTTCAGCAGCAATCATCTGTATGATGTAGAAACAAACCAACGCTGGCAGCGAGGCGAGATATGAGAAACTTTCTAGTACTTCAGATGCGGGTGTTTTTTTACTTTCTTGTACTTAACATTATTGGTCTTGTTTTCTTATTTATTATCACTATGTTGTATGAGGCGGATGAGTAAGATTGTGTTTAAAGTGTAAAACTTTTTCAAGTAAAAGTCCAAAAAATACCCAACTTGCCTGAAAATGTGGACATTGCCTCACATCAGCAACACAGAGCCCCTGGTTCTCTCAAGTTAGAGAGATGGCTGGACACACGTACTGGGCACATTCCAGACAGATGTGCTGTACATGCAGGGCCAGACCATGACACATACTGTACATACAAGGACACACCATGACACACATACCATACACGCAGGGCCAAATTATGACACACGTACCATACATGCAAAGCCAGACAATGACACAGACGATACACATAGACCATAGGCCAGACCAAGACACATGTACCATACACGCAAGGCCAGACCATGCCACATGGACCACACGCAGTGTCAGACCATGACACACGAACTGTACATGCAGGGTCATATAATGAAACACGTACTATACAAGCAGGGTCACACCATGTTGTACGTACATGCAGGGTCAAAGCACATGACAAAGGAGATGAGCAGAAAGCTGGATATGATCACTGGGAATCTAGGGAGTCCAGCATGAATTCAGGCACACAGAGGGTTACCTCACAACAGAAAGTGCTGCATATGGCATCCCTAACAGCACGGGTACTGACCTCCACCCCACCAAATAATACAAGGAGTAGATCAGCAAAACCCAACAGCAATTCATGCCACACGTGGTACTCTGGAGCCCAGACTACCGAGAATGCAGAAAACCCACTATTACAGAGGGTGAAGACAATTCAACATCATAGCTATGAATCCTCTGAGGAGATTGGAGGGGTTAAGCAAAACCCAAGAAGAGAAAGGGGTAACCAATCAACAAATGTGAAGAAGCAGGAGAGGTCGGCCGAGGATGAAGGTTGGTTCTTTAATATCACAACACAAAGGCAAAGGGTACTGTGTCTGCATCAGAACAGTTACATGGGCTGTGGATGCTCAAGAGCCTTCTGCTACTTGAGCTAACACGAAACTATATGATGGGAACTGAAATAGCAGTACAAACACATATAAAAATTATGCAGTTACATTATATTAATGTTGTGTTAAAAATGCAACTAGAACAACACCATAAGGTCAATTAAAAATACCTGTTTTACACATTACTGTATCATGACCAAGCTAAGCAGGGAGTGAAGGTAAACAAGAGGAAAGAAGTCAAGGAGCTCCCTGGTTTTTATGTTCGATATGTTACAGGAAGGATCATCTCACATTTTCAGAAAGTAAGAAAATAATGGATATATACACTTGGAAAGAAAAAAATCTTAATTCAATACTGACTCTTGTATTTACACACTTCGAACCTGACTGGTCTAAAAAATACTCTATTACAGTTAAAAAAAATAGTACTTCTCTAATTTGATTACATGTGAGTGGGATTTAAATGTGAAAGACATAATAGGCGGATGGCTCAGCACTGAGGTCCACTTTTGGCACTTTGAGACAGAGATGTTCACAGCTGCATACCACAACAAGCATCACCTCCTTGACATCAGCTGCGACTGTCCAGGGGGTCAAGGGAAAACATGGCGCCTGCCAGGGTCAGTCCCATTTTGAACCCCTCCTGTGAAATAAACCACAAAGTGGCTGTCAACGACTTTGGGCCCAGGACAGATCAAAGCAACATGCATATGCATGCACATGTGCGCACGTGCACGTACGAGCGCGCACACACACACACACACACACACACACACACACGTAGGATAAACATATCCTTATGGGGGCCGCTCATTCATTTCAATGGGAAAAATGCTAACGCTAACTATGACAACCTTAACCCCTACCCTGCCCTAACCATAACCATAAGTAACCTAACAAAATAAAAGAGTTTCTGCATTTTTAGTTTTTTCATAGCAGTCACCGATTTTTATAAAATAGAGTTTTCCCTTATGGGGACCAGGAAACTGGTCCCCATAAGGGGAAAAAAAACGGATATTTATCACGTTATGGGGACATTATGTCCCCATAAGGATAGGTACACCCGCTCGCACACACACGCACACACACGCACACACACACCTGGGGACCACAGAGCCTGAGGCATAGAAACTTTATGTTCTTTTACTACTACTGACGCTGAGCTGGGATTGCTGCGAGAGAGTGGTGTTGGTCTTGTTTTCTTATTTATTATCACTATGTTGT